TTTGTAGCACATAATTGTTGAATTTCCATTTCAGGACATTAAAAGAGATTATCTTCTTGTCGGGTTACACGGGATACGCGGACTGCATGGTGACACTAAGCACAAGGCAGGACGACTATGATACTGGTCTGGAAAAAAAAAAACAAAAAAACAATGAAATTATTAAAATGCATAAGGTTCTACTAGTCGTGCTGAGATGAGTGAGACGAGAGTGCGTACATACGTATTTATCCATGAAAATTTTCCATTTGCTATTTCTTAAGTGTTACGATGCTCGATGCTATTAATTTTAGCACGTCGATTGTGATACAATAATACGAGATTTCAATTTTATTGGTGATGCCTCTGGTGAATCAAATGTGATACGTGGTTCGGCTTTCGGAACACATCAGAAATCAGGATTGCAGTTGCTGCTGTTGAATTATTAATCAACCACTGAATAGTTAGTACAGATTCTTTCAGCATTACTTTTTATGGTGCGTTTCGTACATTCAAACGTAATCATGCGTAATTACCATTGTAGATGAGTTCTTCGTTCAAGTTTATCATGAAATTACTCATATTCTTTCTGGTTTTGCATCTAAAACACTTTTTCGGATTGTTTGCATAGAAAAAAAACTTACAAAAAAAATTCACCAAACAAATTGCTCGCAAAAAATAAAAAATTGCCCCGAAAATAAAATCTTAACAATCCTTTCTTTCCGTTGGGTTGAATGATCTTTGTGTTGAAAGAAAATAACACCAACTGGCTTCGGATTATTTTGTTGTTTTTTCATATTCTTAATCCACATCTTAGAAGAAGGCATTCGGAAAGTGCATCAAATCCCTGTTCTTATACAATTCATAATTTCTTCCTTGACAGGCGTGTTTCAATGTCTAATAAAAGATGGTCAACGAAAGTTTATGAAGTAAATTGGGCTGGTTAAATCGGTTAACTTACTATTTATTGAATTTTGCTTCGAAGCATTTCGGTTTGTTCTCCTCAATTGTAATGTTGTCTGTCGTGAATCCGCGTCGCCTAATTCCGCTTCGGAAATCTTCCTTTTGACCCTGGTGGACTTTTGATCGGTAATCTTTTCAACCAATGGTTTGGTCTTGGAATTCCTCGTCCTTCGTGTTTCCTTAGGAACACTTATATTTTTCCCCTTTACATCAAATGATGTGCATCTAAGAACTCTCGACGACTTCTTTTCCTTCCTTTCAATCTCTTTGGAAACTTTTACCTTCTTTTCTCTTTTTGACTCTAATTGTTCCTTGCGAAGCTTTACCTTTTTTCCCGATTTCTCTAACGAACCCTCTTCACCATGAAGCCTTTTTTTACTTTCTTTCGTTTCGATCAAATTGTTCTTGGGGAGTTTTTTTAATATCCTCTTCTTTTCAATGTTGGTCAATTCGATGTCAACTAATCTAACCCAGTCATCACACGTGCCTTCTATTTGATAATCTATTATACCGTTCCATTCTCGTCTGACCACATCAGACTTATTCACCAATATTACGTAACCGTTACGATCATGAACAGCTCGAGAAAAATTCTTGATAAGATTTCTGACACCCGGAATTTTTAACGATGTACCCATTACTACAAGGCAATCAGCCCTGTTCTCGTCTTGGGCAGCGATTTGACTAATTTCATATCCTTTGGGGTGTTCGTCACCGTAAAGGAGAACGGTTGGTTTTAACTGTCCGATGGCATGAGGCCGTCTTCCCTGCTCCAGCCGAGCATCCTCTGGATACAGGGACATGGGGAAAAGGGAAATAAAGAAGATCCAATTAATGAAGTTTTGAAATTGATCAATTTAATAAATTTCATAAAACAAGGAAAAAAAACGATCAATCAAAAGTTCTTTTAATCTCGCGTTTTCTCGTGATATCTACCTCGCTTCTCGCAACCGGGACACCAAGGTGCTTCCCCTTGTTTGAAAACGTCACAATACTGCGTTACAAACGGATAATTATTTGTGCAACTACTGCATCGTAGGCTAGACATCGTTCCATGTAATTGAACCACTTGAGCCGCACACTTAGATACCTTTTCAAACTTCCAGTCTACATTTAATCCTACCAATTCCTCGAGATTATCCACGTTTTGGGTATACACTCTAGTTAATTTCTTCATATCAGCTAACTTTTTAAGAAAAAAATGAGTGGCTGTTGGAGTCGCATTTACGATCAACTCTTTAAGTGAACCCATGAATAAATAAAAAGCTCTAATGGATTCATGACTCCTGAGTAGTTCTGCGTCGAATAAATCCCTGCCTGAACGAAAGGTACCCGGGAATTGTCTTTTTACCAAGTCGTAAAGGCCTTCTTCCTTACTTCTGAAATCCTGTGGAAAAGGAAAAAAATTTTCGAAAATAAGGCTCACCCACTCATATATTTTAGGTCGTTTACTCAAGTGTTGTCGGTTTACTTCGAAAGACGCGTTGAAATGAGGAAGGTCAGTTCAGGGTTTTCATTTGGCTTACCGGTATCCCGCCACTACAAGATATGC